CCGGGCGCTGCGGCGGCTCGAGGTCCTGCCGGACCCGCCCCGAGCCCTGCTCACCTGGGAGCTCCGTGCAATGAGCCATGTGGGTTCCCAGCACTGCCAGTGCCACCAACACAGCTCCAGCCCAGTGGCTCCTGGCCCCCGGGATCCCCCCGGTCCCCATCGCTGCGCAGGACACAGAGCTGACACCCCTCGATGTCCCTGAAATGAGAACTGCTCTGCCAAGCTCCGAGCACCAGCTCCCCAGGACGCTGCCCCAGCCCCGGGGAGAGGACATCAACAGCCCCCGAGACCAATCAGCATCGGGGCTGCGCGGTGTCATCTGTCGCCAGGTAAAGCCGGGCTCAGCAGGGCTCCGCTCCACACTTGTCCCGGCTGCAGCAGAGTCGGTGCTTGGCCCCAGCACCTGCACTGGCCCCACAGGAGTCAGTTTTGCTTCCAGGAACTCACCCCAGGGGGAAGCCCTGTCTCCTGGGCTCAACCACCCCAGGGCTCCCGCAGCTCATCTCCCAGATGGTTCCCAAACCCTGACTTCTCCCCTCCCCTCCCCTCTACGTTTCCCCCTCACACCTTGTGCACCTGGGCAGGGCTGTTCTCCCCATGGTACAGTTAGGAGGTGAGCCCCAGAGCCATACAGCGCTGTGCAGTGCAGTACATGGGGCATCTGGGGCAAAGTCACGTCCCATACACTTAAGTCCCAATCAAGCTTCCAGACTTTGCACCCATCTCATCTCCCTGCCCCCCCTCCCCTCTACGTTTCCCCCTCACACCTTGTGCACCTGGGCAGGGCTGTTCTCCCCATGGTACAGTTAGGAGGTGAGCCCCAGAGCCATACAGCGCTGTGCAGTGCAGTACATGGGGCATCTGGGGCAAAGTCACGTCCCATACACTTAAGTCCCAATCAAGCTTCCAGACTTTGCACCCATCTCATCTCCCTGCCCCTCTGCCCAGCCTCCTTTGATCACCCAGCCCCGCAGACAGAGGTGGCAACTGTGTGCTGAGGGTGGGCAGGAAGGGTGCGCGCTGAGGAATCCCAAGCTCTCTGTGCACAAATGACTAAAAAGGTGCACTGGGCTGCAGGGGTTTGGTCACTGGGACCAGACTGGAACTGGTGAAAGGCAGGGCCCTGTGTCCCACCTCCCCTGAGCCTCATCCATAGTACCTGCTGTCTGGTGGGAGTTTGTCCATCTCCTCTGAGCTTGGCATTTTGGCTCTGCCTCGTGAAGGCTCAGATCACTTTTCAGCTTCTTGAAGACTCAGGACAAGTGCAGTGGCTTCTTAACTGGGCAGGGGAAATACCATGTATCTGTGTCCATGAAGGCAGTTTGCCTAAAGTGCCCCCGGGAAGAACTGCTCTTCTGGCATGGTTCAGTACCCACTGAAGTAGCCCAGTTTAGCCCAGTTTATGGAAATGAGAGTCTCTTCCCTTGTTTGCTCTGGGGTCCTTAAGGCTAAAGGCAAGCAAAACTCTGGGGCATCCAAACCCCAAGCCCCCAGGCTTGGGCCTGCAAGTAGGATGCCTGCCAAAGGGTTTGGAAACATCTGAATCCCCACTTATGGGTGGAGGATGTTTGCCAGTAGTAGGGCCACCCATAGTTCTGCACTCTTGGATTTGGATTTAGTTTTGGCTAATTTGGCTTTGGATACAAATTGAAAAAAAAATCTCTGGGCTGTTGCTCTCCCTGCCATCGCTTCAGGGAAGCATACCTGTTGTGCAGTGCTAGGAGAGGAGTAGCCCTAGCCCTGCATGCCCTGGAGCCTGAGATGACCGTCTTTCACCTAGCTTCAGTTGTGTTGGTGGCCAGTCTTCTTGATGGCCACCTTCTCCTATATCTTCTTCTCTTCTCCTGGAGAAGGGTCTGGCAGTATCCATCAATGTAGTCTTCATGGGCCCTGACCATGTGTAGCTGATGTACCTCCTCCTTGAGCTCCCACTCCTGGCCTTCCAGAGACTTCACTAGGGAGCACACCCCACAAGTGGGGATGCCCCCATACCCAGCTGCCATTGCTAGGGAGCCCTCACAGCCCGGAGTTGGGGGCTTAGTGTGGGTGGAGACCTCGGCAGCACTGGGAAGCCTGCAGGCACAACAAGTCTTGGCCACGGCTAGGAGTGAGTCTAAGCATGCAGCCTGTGGTCCCTGAGGGGGTGGGTAGCTTCATAGGGGTGGACTGAGATGGCAATTACCTTTTGGTTGGGGAACAGGGCAGCCTGGAAAACAAGGAGAAACATGGTGAGAGTCTGAGCAGGGTCAGATCCTTCCTGAGAGATCAGAGCTCCTGCCCTAGCCCTGAGGCATGGGGCAGACCCATTAGGGACCCCTCATCCCCACATTTAATACCCAAATCATAGATTCACTCAAACAGGGCTGGAGATAGGGGTTCACTGTATGCACATGTAGATATTTCCTTGAAGTGGATTCACCGCTATGTGCTTTGGTCTCTATTTCCAGAGAACATTAAGTGTTGATCAGTTCTACCACGGCTACACGTGTGTGAGCCACAGTATCAGCTAGGAAGGTATGTCTGTATCTCTATTATATGACCCAAGACAGGCAGGGAGATATGGGCAGAATCAAGTGTTGGGAACACCCACAGACCAGACCATGGCCCTGCACATTTAGCAGGAGCCCATGCTATGGTTTTCTTTTCTACCAAATGCAGCAGTTGAAAATCTAGGGAAGAAGGAGGTGGCGAGGGGTGTCAACAATTGGGAAACTGATTCTGATCAGCATCGAGGAACGAGAGAAGAGACTATCCTTACTATCCTCTCTCTCATAACACAGGCTCTTTTCCTTAAAAAACAATAAAAAGAAACACCCAAAAAATAGATGCTGGAAATTGCAATGAGCATTATATGTGAGACATATGATAAAAACAGCCCCTGCTAGTTCCCAGGTAAGAGTAAAGCTTCATAGGCTGCACGGGGAGCAGATCCATGAGCAGTGCTTTCTCCTTTCTGCTGCTGCTCCTCATCTCCTGCCTCCAGGAAAGGTCTGTTATTCTCCCCTCTGCTGTTCCAAGTGAAAGGGTACATTTTCTCCCTCGGTCTGTTGTAGGCGAGACAATCCTTCACCTTCGCCCATTATCTGTGGCCCCTAACTGTGGGGACTTTGGCTTCCATAAGCCTGGGACCCATCTCAGGCCCAGAGGGGACCCTGAGCTTCTGCGCTCATTGTGGGCATCCCTTGCGGTGGGCCTCTGGCCCTTTTGATCCTTAGGTCCTGGCCCCAGCATTGACCAGTCAAGTCCCCGAGAGGGATCTTCACCTCCTGCCTGCACTTACAGAGTGGGGTTCCCCATTCCCACCTCAGGTGCTCCTGGGAGCATGCCTGGCCCTGCGGGGTCTCTCCCCAGATGGCTCAGGTGCTTCCAGAAGTTTACCTGGCCTATACTCCTCCTTAGATGTTATTCAAAGCACACACCACGAGTGGTGCTCCAGGGTCTCGTGGGGACTCTCACTTCCCCCCTGGAGCAGCAGGTCATTGTGCTTGGCTATGGATGTTGCTCTCTACCTACCCAAAGGTGAGAGCTGGGGTTAAGGCACCCCTACTCGCCTCTCACTGGGGTGGTCACTGGCCTGGCATTTCCTGGGCTCCCATGCCACTGAGAGCCCCACCAGGCCACCCACTTCCAGCAGGGTGCAGTTTTAGGTCATGCCCAGGGTCAGGAGCCTCTAACCATCCACTACAGTCCTGCCCTTCCCTCCAGGATGATAGCTGCAGCCTTACAGCCAGGCAGTGTTGCTGCCGCCTCTGCCAGCAGGAAAACGC